GTAAACACATTTGCTTATGGTTTAGGTGAAGGTAAACAAGTGAGAAAGAAAATAGATGTGTAACAGTATATTGGTTCAGAGCAGTTTCATGATCCGGAGGCTTTCTGTGTTATGAATGTTGATCAAACAACAAAACACTTTTGTAGCTTTAACAGATTTATTAGATTTAATTTATACAGTGAAGACTATGCAGTGTTATTTTACATTTAATTATTCAATTTCTGTACCTGAATACTAGACTTACCTGAAAACCTGTTTATTTCATTTGTATTCTTTGTTCTATTATATTTATCTATGTTTGTCATTTGTTTATTTTCTATGCTAATTTACTCACCTACAAAATCACCCCAATCATTGATTATATTTTTTTCCAAATAGAACTATTCAAGTCATCTGGTGATTTTTTTTTTTTCGTATCGCAATATATAATCGCAGAAAAATAAAATATCACAATGTGAGTTTTTTCCAGTATCGTGCAGCCCTAGTTGAGTCCCTTTTCAATTTCAAGTACAAATAAATTCACCAGCTTTTTTTTTTGTTTAGTTTTGCACACTGGACCTGTGTTGGAGCTCTAAATTTTAAACTCTGAAAGTGCATCAGATTGATTAATTTAATATATATATAAAGCTTGTAAAATATATTCATACTGACAACAGGGGAAATGGGAAATGAGCACGGAACCTAATCGAACCCAAAGCTTGCTGCACAAAAACTGCTGACAACCTTTATAGTATTCAATAAACACAATGATTACACATCAGAGGCAAAGATGGACCATAACCCCATTAAAAAGAGATGGATAAAGTGAGGGATCGTGGGCAGTGGGAGCGTGCTGCTGGATCATGGTATTAGCAGCTGAGAAAGTAAAACTAAGCTAAGTGCATTAACCAGATGAACTTTGCTCGGCTAACAACATTAGCTAGCTAACTCAGTCTGGCTCTTAACACATACACACACACACACACACACACACACACACACACACACACACACACACACACACAGTTACACCTCCAACATGTACATTATCAAGTACAACAGTAAGGTTGCTAGTAAAGTTGTTCAATGTCAGGTTTTTCTGAGTCAACTCCCACTACAGGAGTCAATGGAATTGACTTTACTTTACATCAAAACAGGGTCAGGAACAGAATACAAAACTGCAGTCATTATTACACACTAAATGTATTCTTAAATATTCCTAAATTTGCTTTAGCAGCCATTACCAGAGTACCATAGTAAAACCAATCCAAAGTAAATACTAGACCTCAGTCCAGACCAAAAACAGGATCACTATTACTCTCCTCCACGACTGAATGACCCACAGGCCTGTGCTAATCTAGTCGATAAAGACTAACATCAACAACGCAGGCTAAGGCCAAATGTCAAATCTTCCTAACAAAGCACATAATTACTACTAGGGTGGGCGATATGGCAAAAAATATCATATCACGGTTTTTCCCATAAATATCACGATTCGCGATTTTATCACGGTTCTTTGTCATGTTGGTTTTACTATTTTGCCAGTAGTCTGAGCATAACACCCAAATTAATTTCCCTATATTAAAAACAAAGCCTTACAAGGTAACAAAATATAAAATAAAAAAGAATGGCAGACATTTAGGCCAAAATGGGCAAATATAAAAATCTTTGTCATTATTTTATCTTTATTAAAAAATAAGAACAAAGATACACGTTACAAATACACATAATATACAAATAAAACAAACGGTTTTCAGGTTCAGGTAGGTGTATTTAGCAGTAGCATTCAAGAAATTGAACTAAATATAAAAATAAAACACTCACCCAAAAATGACAATTCTGTCATCATTTACTCTCAAGTTTTTTTTTTTAAACCCGAATGGGTTTCTTTCTTCTGTTGACAGTTGCTGGTCCCCAGTTACTTTCATAGTATTTTATTTACTTTTTTTCCCACTATCATGTTTGGTTACCCACATTCAAAATATCTTCTTTTGTGTTCAGCACAAGAAAGAAATTAATGCAGGTTTGGGACAACATGTGAGTGAGTAAATAATGACAGAAATTTAATTTTAGGGTTAACTATCCCTTTAATGAGAAGCGGCAGCATGTTTAGTTCTGTCGCTTTAAGAGCTGCACGCATCCGTATTTTTCTGTGTAGGCTCTCAGAGAAAGTGCTTATCAGAACAGCACGCGAATGAAATGTTTAACCTGCAAAGCTTTAAAGCACATGCAAATAATGTACTTTTGTGATTGCAAATAAGCGCAGTGTCCAGGGAGTGTACCGCTGAGATAAAATTTTATGTGAATGTGTGACGCGTTGTACAGTATATTGAGATGGAGGCGCACTGTAGCACGATACTACGATATTAGTATAGCAACTATGCCATTTCAACTTGCTTCTACAAGCCTTTGAGCCGTTTTATGGTGACTTGTGGTACCCAAGCACTGTAAATAGTAAGTGAAATAACGTACCAGATGAGCTGCCGAGCAAGTTTACTATGTCAGAAAAGCCATACATATGGAGCTGATTATGTGATGCAAAAGTCCAAAAGTTGAAGTTCACAAATCATGCATTATGGTAAAAGTGTTTTGAGGTCATAACACAGTATTGTCCCAGAAACCACACAAAAATCATTGTTTATTAATCAATGTGTGAAAGTGTGAAAAGGAATAAAAGTTGTTTGTGTTTTACTGCCACTAGTGTTCACTGGAGCTTGAAATTGCTGTGAATTGATATAGGTATATTTGTATAGGTACGTTTTTGAAGTTTGCAAAAACGTATGCAGAGACACATATTTCCAGTGAGCCTAGGTTGGTGTTGTGATGTGCATGCGTGTGTGTGTAAAAAGAGAGAATGATATGGAAGTTAGTGTAGCGCTGCTCAGGGGTGATTACATGTCTCTAGTGGTTCTATATTTTGAGCCAGAGTTAAAGCTGTAATGAGAGGAAGACAAGAAACGAGCAGTCATGCCTTCCTGTAGAAACAACTCACTCTAGGTGGTATTTACCATATCCGTCTCTTTTATGACATGAATAAATGAAGCAATTACTCAGAGCTATATGGTTGTAATAGAATAAGCAAACACCTAGACACGTACTAAATCACACACAGGCAGCATCACCCTCATGAAAAAACTACTAAATGTGAAACGCCAACATAAAATCTGCTAATCACAAAAAAAAAAGATTCTGTAAATGGCCAGTTGACATGACATGTAATTCTACTGTCCTCAAAGGCTATAATTTTTATTTTATTTTCATCATGGCTGGACAGCAAAGAACTTTCTTACCATAAACATAAAATGATAATATTCAAATTGTGCATTGTTTTATTAGCAATTTTATGTCAAATGTGACTAGAAAATTGCCCTGTGAAGTGATTGCCCCCATCATGAACTGTGAAATACAGGCACACATCAAAATGATCAACATGGATATAAATGGCATTTAAATACACTGCCATTTAAAGGTTCGAGGTCGGCAAGAAAAAGAAAAATGTGTATGCTTACCAAGGCTTCAGTAAAAAAAAAAACCAAGTACAATTGTGAATTATTATTACATATTATCAGTTTTCTATTTGAATATATTTTAAAATGTAATTCATTCTTATGATGACAAAGCTGAATTTTCAGCATCACTACTCGTCTTCAGTGTCACATGATCCTTCAGAAATCATTCTAATGTTGATTTGCTGCTCTTATTGATGCTTTTATTATCAATGTTGAAAACAGTTTTTCTGCTTAATTTTTGTTAATTTATTTATTTCAGGATTCTTTGACAAATATAAAGCTCAAAAGAACAGCATTTGTTTCAAATAGGAATCTTCTGTTACTTTTTAAATGTCTTTAATGTCACTTTTAAACAATTTAATCATTCCTGAATAAAAGTACTAATTTCTTTCAAGAAAAAGAAAGAAAACTAATTGTCCGCAATGTTTTTTTGAAGAGTAGTGTATGTTGACAATTTATTCATTTTTTATATTTATTTACTTTTTTTTTTTTTTCAAAAATGCCTGGTTGTGATTACATATTACCTTAAACATGACATAAATGCTCTTGGTGATGCTTAAAAATCAAGATCCAAACAAGAATAACACATTTGTTAAGTTTTTAAGTCATGTGACACATTTGCGAATACAAATAGAGAAATTAACCTAAACATTCTGTCATCATTTACTCAGGTCACTGCAATCCTGTATGACTTTATTTCTCCTGAAAAACACAAAAGAAAAGATATAATAACACTGGGGTCAAAACAACACTGGACCCCATTGACTTTCATCGTATGGGCAATTAAAAAATCTTCTTTTATCTTCCACAAGTCGTCAGACTGGTTTTGAAAGACATAAGGGTGAGTAAATAATGACAGGATTTTAGGGTGAGCATCTCTTTAACAGCTTAAAATTGCATTTGTATGAAGCCTAAACATCATTAAATATACAGGTAAACCGCATGCCCTCCGCAAGTGCAGTCATCTATCTTTGACAGCTCCAGCAAGACATTTTCAAGCCATTATTAAGTTCAAATCTGCTCTGACAAGCCAGTGAATACTCCACCAAATGAATCGCTCTGCCTCGTGATGAGTCAGATCTCAGACCCATCTCTAAAAAGCTACGTACAATTCAGTTCAACCACACCGGAGAGCCAAAAACCATCATTTGACAGTGCTGCAAATGAAATGGCCCACAATACCTGTCTTTCCTGCAGGCTAGCACCCATTAAGGGCCGCACACTGTGACAGTATCAGTCCTCAGGGCCTGTACTGAATTATTCAAGGCTCGTGTGTGTAGCTCAGATAGTCCTCAGCCATCTCGAGGTGAAACACCAGCCGTTTGACATTTGCATTGATGTGATAATCGAAGGGCAAGAGCTGGAGCGCTCTGATTTCACCGCTGACCATTTACAACGGAGAAAAACGGGTGTGTAAAAGCAGAGAATGAAAGAAAAAAATGAGGGTTTGTGATGGTGCCGAGTGTAAAAAAAAAAGGGGGTGAGAGAGGGAGGAAAGACGAGCTGACTTACTTTCTGTCAGTATGGTCGAGACCACTCAGCCGGACCCCTTCGATGGGCTCGTTGCGTTGGCCGCACGTGTTCCCGTAGCTGTCATATCCGAAGACGAGCCGCGCCGCCCCTCCAGTCGCGATGGTAAACCCACAGATGCCACACTGGAATGAGAGTGAAAAAAAAAAGTCAAAGATGTGGGAAAACTCATTTGCAGCAAAGGCTAAATAATTCACAGGATAAACCTAATTATAGAAAGATTCACCACTAAATCACAAGATTCCTGTGAGCTTCTTCATTTGCGTAAGACATGTATGTTGAGACATACACTAACACAATGTCCAAAATTTCCAATGACAAGCAAATTTGTCTGTTCACACTAAATGTGAAACTGCTGTGAGACCACATACAATCACAGCCAATCAGAATACATTTCATGTCTACTGGAATGGGGAACAGGATATTTTAGAGCAGTGAGATTTCACACTGGGTGGAGGTACCCTGTAAAACACCACAGAAATAGAAAGCAAAATGACGCTCATCGTGGCTGGTCGCAAAAACCACAGCAAGGTGACAAAACACTATTTATCAAAAGAGAAATTTCAAGGGAAAAAAGCTGAGCCATAAAATATTTAGGCCTGGTGTTTCTGCACTATCCTGAAAACAGTGATGAATGAATTATCATGGTGGGATGTTGTATTATATGGCTATTCACTAACTATCTAACTAAATAAATGGGCTTTATTTAAGGCTGCATGATTTGGGAAAAAAAATCCAATTGTGACATTTCTGATAAAAATTTGCATTTCTTTTTTTCTTTTAAATTCTAGGTTTGCTGTGCTTGTTTATATGGCTGCATAGTTTTGCCAAAATTTAGAGATGATATATCAATATGGATATAATACTACTACTACTACTACTACTACTAATAATAATATATTTCTACTACTAAATAAAAATATAAAAATTACTAAATAAAAAACATTACTATTGTAAAAAATTAAGAAAACTAATCATTATTTTATTTTACAGTAAAATTTACAATACTAATATTTAAAGATGCCTTCATTTCTTCTTTTTCAAACATTAAAGGGTTAGTTCACCCAAAAATTATGTCATTAATTACTCACCCTTGTGTTGTTCCAAACCCGTAAGACCTTCGTTCATCTTCGGAACACAATTTAAGATATTTTTTATGAAATATGAGGGCTCTCTGACCCTCCCATAGACAGCAAGGTAATGAATGAAGGTCTTACGGGTTTCGAACAACACAAGGGTGAGTAATTAATGACAGACTTTTCATTTTTGGGTGAACTAACCCTTTAAACCATCCAACATTTATTTACACTTTTAAAGCTGCTCTATTGTTGATAAGCACTTATCATTGCAAGCATGAGAAGATGGCTGCTGCATGTTGTGTTTCCAAATGCACATTAAATCGACCTAAACTCAGAGCACATGCAGAAATGATTTCATGTGGAGCAGCATTTACTGCAAACTGAGCCGCTACAAACACCAGCAGATGAGCTGCTCATGCGTAAGAACACTCTGAAACACACAGCACATTTATTTATTATTATTTAACAGCACATTTATTTATTAATTAAATCACACTAAGCCATATTGTGATTTTGATTTTATTTCAAATATTCATGCAGCTCCAGCATTAATTATTGTTTTTAGCATTTTTTAGATATTTATTTTATTGTTTTATTGCGAGAGAAGAAAAAGACCGCAGGGTGTCCAAGAATCCTAAATTCTACATGTTCTTCATATGAGTGCTTCATATCATAGTCCTGATTTACCGCTCTGTGTTTATTTTGTGATGCATGTACATTATCTTTCTTTTTACAATAATAAATAAACAAATGCATGGATATGAAATACAGTATCACACAGTGTTGCCCTGGACATCTGTCATTAACATCTGACTGTTGAATGCAAAAACTGACCAGTTAGAACTATAAAAATCCCTGTTAGTATATCATTAAGTAGTATATCAAAACTACCCAGTACCTGTATATGTAAAATACAAAGTAACATGACCACACTGACTATAATACACAGTGTGACCAGAAGTACTTTCATAGCCTGCATATATGAACATAATATTGTCTATAAATTATGAATAAGGTGAACTGTTGACTTACCATTCCCACAAGGAACAATGTAAATAACAGGAACCATGGCAGATCCGTGCAGCTCCGGTCCTCCAAAGGTTTCCATTCTCTTTTTGGCCTCTGAAATACAAAGACACAATGCTGCATGTTCAAATGATTATCATTTGATTCAAATAACATGTCTTCACATTAAAGACAAACTGATAAGCAATACCGTCTTCCAATATTTATACTTTTTCCACTTAATTGGTTCTAAAATATTAGATACAGAAATTTTAAAATAAATCTTTTAAAATAACACTGCCCATTAAATAGGGGGAAAAAAACATTAGTAAAAAAAAAAGAGTTAAGTTTACATAAGTTATTTATTACTATTATTATTATTATTGTATTATTTTTTAGTATTATTGTATTGTTATTATTATCTTACTATTATCTATTCCTTCATATGTCAGTAATTGATAATAAATATATTATTGTATCACTGCGTTTTACATATCGGTTATCAATCACTTAAATATAAAAAATAATCAAGAAAACAACCTAAGTCAATTTCTTCTTTACATAACTAGTTAGCATGCTGCAAACGTTAAACAGTATTTATTTTCATATAAGGCCTCGCAAATGTAACCTGTAAAAACGGGCATATTCAAAAAAGCAATTTCACATAACAAGCTCCGACCACAATTGATATCCATTTATAAATAACCCCCTTTGTGTAACCAGTGTGTTGTAAGAGGACAGCAGTGCCTGTAAACATGTTTACTAATACTAACACACTACACTATGATGATGGGAAGCAAAAAAACAAAGACAACGGTCTAACGCGTTGTATTTTGATGCAAAGGCGAAATCATCGCATAACTGTCATGGTCAAATGCATTCATCGCTATGTGCGAGCGCATAGGACATAATAATAGGATTACATGCAGTGCAAGCGACGGTACAGCACTTCATTGGCCCGTCAAAGGCGATCAGCCGTGAAACAATGTAACAATGTATCAACACATCTGCGCCAGATTCGATACATGCTATCACGTTTTGTCGCGGCCAGCATCGCTTACCTCTGCGCTTCCACAGCATCCCATTGCCGGAGGGAGGTTAGGACCGCAAAAAAACTAAACGCTACACCGCAGGAAAACAATAACCCCAACTTGCTGGGAGTTGACAGTGTGTTTTTTACCCTGCATTAATCGCGCGCGTCGATCACACGAATCTAATCGGAGGGCTTTCCCCGGATACACTGCATAATAATGTTTGTTCGCTCCTCTCGCTCCAGGTAAAAGGGATTATTACTTTAGGATTTATCGCCCAGCACTTCCTGGTGGGATGAGCAGGTGTAGCCGGAAAAGAACGGCAGCCGTCCATTCACAGCACGAGCTGGATGAGGCGGAACGCGCGCTGAATGTAGGGACGCTGGAGGAACCCGGGAACTTCAAACCGCCGCGGTTTAATTCTGGAATTTGTGTCTAGAATACATTTAGTTTAAAAGATAAAGCTCCATAAAACAAAAGGTTTTAATTGTATTTTATTAATACTTTATTTATTGTCGACTTAACAATCACATTCTAAACAGAATCGCTTCACTGCTTGTTTTTAAGAAATAATACAAAAATTATGCAAAACTATATGCATATTTCGGACTTTAAGCACCACTAAAATATCAAAATTGATTCGAAATTGTAATTGTTTTGTGTATTTAAGTCATTTTTAACCATGTTTCCAACATCAAGATATTACAGGTTCTCACAGTCACTCAAATCCTGGAGAGGGCAATACATAAAAGCGTCTGCTAAATGACTAAATGTAAATGTAAATGTACTAAAATTGTGCTTTTCCGTTTTTTTTTTTTAACCCACAAAAATCAATTAAATATTTATAGTGGTTTAGCTTTGAAATGTGAGTGTAATCACAAAAAAAGTGAAAAAATAATTAGTAAAATGTATACTATAAAGGAATAGTTCACTCAAAAACGAGCATTTGCAGAAAAGTTTGTTTCTTCATCAAAACAGATTTCCCTTGCTTACCAATGGATCTTTCGCAGTGAATGGGTGCCGTCAGAATGAGAGTATAACAGATGATAAAAACGTCCCAATAATCCACAATTGAAGTGAAAAGTCATGAAGGTGTTTTTAACTTCAAATCATTGCTTCTGGCTAAAATACGAGTCTCCTATCCATAATATTGCTTTCTCCAGTGAAAAAGTAATCTCGTCTGAATCAGGAGAGAAATATGCATGCACAGATCAAGCACCGTTTACAAGTGAAAACAGTTCTAAACCAAGATATCAGTGGATTTTAATGTGAAAGGAGAACAGGGGATGGACTTTTTCACTGGAGGAAGCGTTATAATGGATAATGGACTTTGTATTTTGGCCAGAAGCGATGGTTTAAGTTAAAACGTCTTATAATGAATTTGTTTCTGTTCCGATGGAGAAACAAACGTTGTGTACAAACTATCCTACTGTGTGTACACAAGGAACTTCATTACATTTTCCAAGTGGTTTTGATGACGTCACTGGAGGAACCATTCACAGTCCATGCAGGAATGTATGGGTTCCATTTTTATGTTTCTCAGAAAGCTGCCCATTTAGAAAAAGCGGCTCCAGTCAGTGGACTGTGATCTCAGACTCCCAAACAGAGCTTCAAATATCCTTTCACTTTCAAAACACATGGAAAGGTCAAAATGTGTGGGAACTACAGTTATTGTTAATTCTGTAACAAAAAACACATTTGCCCTAACAGTAACTGTAGTAAATGTGATATTTCTGATGGAAACTAAAGTTGACATATATAGCTTCATAAGGGATTTAGTCATAAACATTCCTATCTTCTGGTGATATAAACATGAAATACCCCTGATTGAAAGAATTTAAGAAAGATTTAGCTTTGGCCTTAACCAGATCTCAATGCATATGCCTACAGATTTCTATAAAAACAGGAGTGAAAGGTCACTGTTTGTTTGACCACTATGAGCAGCACAAACGTCAGTCCATATGGTCATCATCATCACCACCCTGTTGGGAATCTGCGTCACCGCTGCCACTCAGTGTGCTAGTCACTGTAAAAACTACAGCAAAACACACACATTTATACAGGAACTCTATTTCCCAAACTCTTCTTCGTATACTTTAACTGGAGATTTCTACATTTTTAAATAGTACTAGAATAATAGTAAATTACCACAATAGTTGATAGTGTGTTTAAGAATAGCTTAAGAACAACTAAAACAGTTCAAACTCTCAGAGTATTCAAAATGTCACCAAATAAACTTGAAACTTTAATTTTTAATAGTTTTATATAAACTTAGAACGTTTATATACACTAGACGTTTCATTTCTGCCTTTATTTCTAAGTTAAATCAAAGTGCTGCAAGTCACAACAATCTTTGAAAGCTCACTTGAAATGACCTGTTTAAGAAATTCTATAAAATAGAGAAATGTAATTTCTGTATTGTAACAAGTTAAACAGATGTAAATAAATATGGATTTCTTTTACAGCTAGGCATTCCTTCGTGACAAAAAAACAGTAAGAAATTCTCTTCTTATTTTTTCTATGCTCTGTTTACTTTTAGAAGTTGCACTTTTACTTTTTGCCTGTTCTAAACTCGTCAGTCACTTGAATCGTATTAAGATAATGTCCCACCTTTATCCAGCTGGACCTCGGCCGATAGGAGCTTGATGTTGACCGTCTCACCTCGCTCATCTTCGGCGGTGTGCAGCATCACAGCTCTCAGTCTGTGAAGGGGTAGAGCCTCAGCTCAGAAACGCCAGCCTGGACCACAGAAGAGCTGCATTGTTCCATTGTTCGTTGTAGTACCAGGGAGAGAGTGAACATAGTGAGTTATTGTGTGTGTGTCACGGAGAGAGATGGGGAGAAAGAGAGAGAAAAATCCTCTCACATTACTGTAAACAACATAAGTGATTTTATTGTCAAACTAACTGTGATTTAATGAGTCTGTCCACTAGAGGGAGCTCATATACAACAAATACAATATGACTCAAAACGGACACTTTCTAATGGATTGCTTGAACAACCATACCTGTCACAATATGTAATGTATATACTGCATAGGCGTAATTTGCGGGTGGGACGGGTGGGACATGTCCCCACCACTTTTTGCCAGGGTCGATATTGTCCCTACCACTTTTTGAAAGTAATTGAAAAATATATTGCGGAAGGTATGTATTAAAGGGAAAACAAGATCAACAAATCATTCTTCATAAACTAATTAGGGTGATAAAAAAAAAAAAAAAAAACATTTGACTCCTTACGCATGCATAACTCGTGCAGTGCAATAACGTCGTGATTTGCAGCTGTCGCACTTTTCGTAATGTCATTAAGCTATAGCATTTTATTTTAAAAATGGAGAGCTTCCTTGTGCTAAGTAGGCCTGCCCTCTATTAAAGATTTTTCTAGTCAACTAGTCGCACGTTATATTAAACTGATTAATATAATAATATATTAACCATTCTTCAATATAGGCTATAGGAGATGAGGTTGCCGAATGCCGACGCTGACTCGCCATCTCCACATGGAAGTGCCTTTAATAGAAATGCACCTTTTCATACGGACTACAAATTAAAGAATATTACAAAATCGAGTGGGCGAGTTTTCCTTATATTTATTTTATTATTCATATAAAAATTATAATAACCTGTTTTGGTTATATTTACTATTAATTGCAGAAGGTGCGCTCAGCAAAAATGACGCGAATTAGTTTTACTTTTCTTTTTGTTTTGTTTTCATTTTGAAAAGCTTATCTTTGCTGTTTACCTCACCTTATGCTATGGAGGCTCTCTCTCTTTTCTTTTCTTTTTATTCCTCAGTGTTTGCTAAACGTTCTGTAATTTATCAGTCATTATATAGCCTAATACAGCGTGTAGGCCTATGCCATGCCTCATCTTATTAGTTTTTGTTAAAGGGATCATATGATTCGATTTCAAGTTTTCCTTTCTCTTTGGAGTGTTACAAGCTGATTGTGCATAGATAAGATCCCTG